GTTTTAATAGGGTACGTCAACAGAATGTACACTAAGAAGGAATTTTTCGATATTCCCCCATGGGGAGAGGGACAGAATTAAGGCTTCCGTGAAGAACTTGACTTATATTATTTTAGATGCGGGTTTTTGCGTTTTTGATTGCGTTTTAATAGGGTACGTCAAGAGACACTAAGAAGAAATTTTTCGAAAAATTCCTCCTCTACGGGGGAAGTGTTATAAATTTATAATAGATACATTTTGAGCCACAACAACGCTTGGCGGGGTCTGCTAGTTCACAATAAAATGAGAAAGGCTGTAGGTGTATTATAAAAACATTTGTTTAAAGTTATAAAACAATATTTCAATTATCGCCTTTTGCTTCAGTTATGAATTTCGATTAAATTTCTGTTACGTGCCGTCCATTAATTACGTGTACACTTTTGAATCAGTTTTGACCCCCTTCTTCCTTATTGTGTACAACGATATATCTTTGTCAAATCCCCCTCCTATTTTATTACGCGTACAATATTTCACGGACCCTCTGATATTGAAGAAATGACTTTAAAAAATCGTTTATTCACACGACTAGTAACATAAATAGGTTTATAAAATCAAATTCGTATGCCACTAACAGTGGCGGCCTTAGGGGGTGGCGAGCAGGGCAATCGCCCGGGGCCTCGCTCTTGGAGGGGCCTCGCGCAACAACCAAGTAGAAAAAAGTTGATATTTAAAACTTTTTATTTTATCCTTGGCTATTAGTTATAACAATAAAATAAATTTAATTTATAGTACAGTATATATTAATATTAATAAGTGCCTACTATTTCAATTTATATACTTTGCACAAAGGACAAGGGCCTCGCAAAGACCTGCCGCCCAGAGTCTTGCAATGGATAAGGCCGCCGCTGATAATAGGAAACACAAACCTCTCCTAGTTGAATAGAGTGTCATCAATCAATAACAATTAATAAACATTTACATTAATTTCACTCGAATTTTAGAGCGAGAAACAAAGACAGACACAAGAAAACTCAGTTCGTGTTGTAGCAAGTGCACACCCAAGGTTAAATACCTCTGAGATACGAAGGGTAAATGAATACGAATTCTGAAATATTACTGACTTAATTAAAACTATTATAACGTTTTAAAGTTTAAAGATATTTATTATCAATAAGTCGGAACAGAATGAAAATTTATTTTTCGTGTATTTTTACAATACAATTATATGGTTTGACACAATTCTTATATTAATATAAAGAAATTGCTTTTTGCCCTTAAGCCTGTCTCCTCTAAACCCATTTATTGCTCAATGATCACACCTTTATAATAGTTCCTTTGTCTTGTATAATTTTAAGTACCTCACCTTTTTTATAGCCTATACGTATACCAACTGAAGAGGGACTATTCCGATAGTCCGAAATGCATTTTGGTTATTTCATGTCAATTGTTAATTTAATCGTTTTTAATATACACCCCTTCTCGGTTTATTAAAATGTATTCCATTGATACCTGGGTGTTTGTGCTTATTATCACTGGTGTGATAAGTCCTTATTCCTACCTCACATTAGTAGGTTTTTAATTAATTTAACAATTCTTATACCTTCGCTTGTTATATGCATTACAAGCAGGGCTGTAGATTCAGAGTCGGAGCCGTGGAGTTTTGGTGTTTTATACAGAGTCGGAATCGTAAAAAACCCTCGACTTCTACTCCTTTTTATTTTCCCAACTTATTATGTATATAAAAAACGAAAAAGTATTTGAATCGTGTCACATTTGTATCTTCGAGTTATTTGAAAATTTTGTTAATAAATTAGCATACACAATTGTTAATACATAATGAAATGGTCATTGAGTTGATTGGTGTAAGTTTAAATTTTATGATGTTGTGCCATAATTTCTTCCAATTCAAGTTTCAAGTTTGGATTATCCTTTCTTTGTAAGTACAGTTTTCTTCCGACACTATCTGGAATGCTTTTGATAACAATAATTATGAAAAGAAAGAAAGCCAGGTAGGCTACAATAAACCTCCACTGTGTAAAGTGATGCATGTTTCAACTTCGATGGTACAGAAAAGTGCTTCGAGTTTGAATAATTGTCTTTTTTTTTCAAATCGTGATAAAAGAAAAATACATCTAAGAACTGTAGCCATAACGTAAAAGTTATTGTCAAAATTATTGTGGCAATTCCTGTGTAATTAACGATAGAAAACATCTGATTTTGACGAAAGTAATTTAAGTTTTTTAGTTTTATTTTTGTATTTAATTTCACTCTTCTAACGATGCTAAATATTACGGCAAAAATATCGACAAATATTTTGACAAAAATGTCGTTGTCGACAATAGAATACCAGGATATACAGGGCGTTTTACTCGACACACACTGTTGAAAACTTATAAATTTAGGTCAAATATCTGATTAAGTCTGCATTTTGTTTTTTTTTTTTCGGATAATTGTATTAATTTTTGCGACGTAACAACGTTATGTTAATTTAATATAACAACGTTAAATTTTTATTCTTAATTAAACGTCGACAGTGTAGAGACATAGAAGAAGTCATGTGTCATATCTCCAGTGTAATCAGACTTAAAGAATATTTTATGCGTTATTAGCATTAACAATCTTATAATCGAAATGGGTTAATAATAGTAATAATAAGCTTACAGTTGAAATTTCGTACACATTAATCCGATTTTAAATTCTAATAAACCGCATTCTACCATGTGTTTCTCATTTAATATACTACATTAATTTCGTTCTAAATGTGCTCACTTTGATTATTTAAATTTTAATTGAGAAATTTACACTTGATATATTGAGTTAGGTGAAAATATCTCAATTTACCTTAATTCTTCTGGTTATCCGAAAGGAAGAGAAGAAAAAGCAGTGATAGAAATTAACGCTTGACCTCTATAGCAATAGAAGATAAAACAGAAAGCAGATTATATAATTGAATCTCCCGTTAAATATTTACTTTTTACTTTATAATTTGTTTTAGTTTCATCTTATTTCTTCACAAATCCTCTTTTTACAATAATAATTTTTACGATAAAACGTCAAAATTAAATACAAATTAAGTAATCATTCGAAAATTATTTATTTTTGATTAATCATTACATATAAAGCAAAAAACAGAAAGTTTCCAAAAACATGTTATAACGTTTAAAAACTACTTATTTATTTAAAATTGATTTAATAAAGAATTCAACATTTAATATTACAATAAGTGATTGATTATATTTTGCATACTTTGTTGGGCTGCAAGTTGAAAAAACTTGTAGACCTATAAATTCTCACAGTGGTCCGTCTGTGTGTCTGTCTCGTTCTTAATATCGAGAACGGATTTAGATGAATGTCGAGACCAGATAATATGAAAAGCTTACAAGCACGAGGCCCGTATTAACTGTTATCGAACTTTCGGTGCAAATCGGTAAAATCACCTTATATCAATTATAAGCTTTTTCCCTGAAAGCGGTTAATATATGACCGGCACGACTCCTTTGTTAAATGAAAAGTATGATGTACAGGAGGAAGCTACAACTACTTTCAGGTGGACATCATATATGTTTAATTATATTTTTAATTTATTTAATTTAACATATATACTTTCCACTGAAATTTATAATGTTTTAGTCTGTACATCATACTTTTTCTGTGAGCAATAGAGTTGTGCCGATCATGTATCTAACTCCTTTCGGGGACAAATTTTAAATTGAAATAACGTGACTTCCGGTGCAAACCGGACGTTTGCAAATAGTTAAACGGGGCCTTTTCCCCCTAAGATTACGATATCTTGTCACGACTTTCATCTATCGTATTCCGTTCTCGACATTAAGGAAATATAGATACACACGCGGAGAACAGTGGAAATTTATGGATCTACAGTGTTTTTCAAATTGCAGCCTAATTATTACAGACAAAATGACAGATACAAAATCTAAAATTTTCTACCTATTGTCCTGTATAATATATTTACTATAAAAAGGAGTATTGTATTTAAATAGTTTCGACATATTTCACACAGAAAATCCTATTGTAAAAAATGACTTCGCACGTGAAGTTTTAAAGTAATAAACGAACAGAATTTCTGACCACAAACATTGCATTTCTTAACNGATTATATTTTGCATACTTTGTTGGGCTGCAAGTTGAAAAAACTTGTAGACCTATAAATTCTCACAGTGGTCCGTCTGTGTGTCTGTCTCGTTCTTAATATCGAGAACGGATTTAGATGAATGTCGAGACCAGATAATATGAAAAGCTTACAAGCACGAGGCCCGTATTAACTGTTATCGAACTTTCGGTGCAAATCGGTAAAATCACCTTATATCAATTATAAGCTTTTTCCCTGAAAGCGGTTAATATATGACCGGCACGACTCCTTTGTTAAATGAAAAGTATGATGTACAGGAGGAAGCTACAACTACTTTCAGGTGGACATCATATATGTTTAATTATATTTTTAATTTATTTAATTTAACATATATACTTTCCACTGAAATTTATAATGTTTTAGTCTGTACATCATACTTTTTCTGTGAGCAATAGAGTTGTGCCGATCATGTATCTAACTCCTTTCGGGGACAAATTTTAAATTGAAATAACGTGACTTCCGGTGCAAACCGGACGTTTGCAAATAGTTAAACGGGGCCTTTTCCCCCTAAGATTACGATATCTTGTCACGACTTTCATCTATCGTATTCCGTTCTCGACATTAAGGAAATATAGATACACACGCGGAGAACAGTGGAAATTTATGGATCTACAGTGTTTTTCAAATTGCAGCCTAATTATTACAGACAAAATGACAGATACAAAATCTAAAATTTTCTACCTATTGTCCTGTATAATATATTTACTATAAAAAGGAGTATTGTATTTAAATAGTTTCGACATATTTCACACAGAAAATCCTATTGTAAAAAATGACTTCGCACGTGAAGTTTTAAAGTAATAAACGAACAGAATTTCTGACCACAAACATTACATTTCTTAACGCTTAAATCGGTGTTTCTTTTTAGATATTTATTTAAAACAGACCGTGTGCGTAACACCTTATAGCAAATTTTGCATTTATACATTCCTCCTGGTGGATGAGCAGTCTTTTTATGAGTTTGGAATTCGACTTTTTACGTAAATTTCATCTTACAAACGTCACAACAGAAGTGTATTTGATCCTTGTAAGCGAGTAGATGCTGCTCTAAAGCAAAACTATTTCTAAGTCTGTTTACATTATTACAGATATTACATTGTTAAGCTAATTGTTGGGAGTGTATTTCTGCACAAAATTGTATATGCAATTTCAGTTTAGCTTTTGTTCTAAATCTGCTTTTACAATGGAGGCAAAGATGTTTTTTATGATGAACAGGTTGGTGCTGAATCAAGTGTGATTTATCGTAAAAACGTTTCTTACATACCTCACAGACGAAACGAAGATTGTCTTTATTGTGAAAACTTTGGTGACGTTTCAACCGAAAACTTGATATGAAACGTCTGTTACACACCTCACAAACAAACGGTTTTATGTCAAAATGAATTCTTTGATGAACGTTTAAAGCGTATTTAGACGCTAACTCCTTTTTACAGATATTACATTTTTGAATATGGATTTTCTGATGAGTTTTTAGCATATTTTTAGTTTCGAATGACCTACTACAATAACAGCAAACAAACATATTCTGATGTTGAGCAATGCGATGTCTGTCAACACTACTTTTGCATGTAAATCCTGTTTTACATATGTCACAAAAATATTTATCACGTTTATCTTCGTGGGTTCTTGCATGCTTTCTCAAATAGCGTTCTGTTTTAAAATACTTGTTACATATCTGACAAGAATGATTTAAGTCTTTATTATGAATCATTTTATGAACTGTCAAAGAGCGTTTTGTTTTAAAACTTTTGTTACAAACCTGGCAAGAATACTTATATTGATCACTGTGAGTTTTACGATGACTTTTTAACTGGCCATTTGTTCTAAAGCCCTTTTCACATACATCGCATTTGAAAGGTCGATCTACACTATGAGTACGTTGGTGTTTTCTCAGTTTTGATTTAGTTTGAAAGTTTTTTTTACATATCTTACAACAATGAGATACTTGGTGATGTGTTTTGTTATGCCTCTCTAAATTGCCCTTTGATATAAGTAGCTTATCGCAGATGTCACATCGAAAGTGTTTGCTCTTAGATACTTTACGTTCATTTGATGATGATGATGGCAAACGAAGTTTACAATGATCAATTTCGCTTTGTTTTTCACTGTTGTGTTCTTTCCTGTGTCTTCTCAATAGAAATTGCCAGGAAAATTTCTGATTGCAAGTTGTGCAGCAAAATGGTTTTTTTCCGATATGAAAGTTCAAATGCGCTTGTAGTATTTCCTTGTTTACAAAAGTCTGTTTACATAAATCACATTTGTGATTTTGTTTACAATGAGATGAACGCGTTACTCTGAGATATTTCCTTTTAATATCTCTTTGGATTTTGTTGTATTTTCTAATTGAAAGAACGAATTTCGTCNTCACATACATCGCATTTGAAAGGTCGATCTACACTATGAGTACGTTGGTGATTTCTCAATTTTGATTTAGTTTGAAATTCTTTTTTACATATCTTACAACAATGAGATACTTGGTGATGTGTTTTGTTATGCCTCTCTAAATTGCCCTTTGATATAAGTAGCGTATCGCAGATGTCACATCGAAAGTGTTTCCTCTTAGATACTTTACGTTCTTTTGATGATGATGGAAAACGAAGTTTACAATGATCAATTTCGCTTTGTTTTTTACTGTTGTGTTCTTTCGTGTGTCTTCTCAATAGAAATTGCCAGGAAAATTTCTGATTGCAGGTTGTGCAGCTAAATGGTTTTTTTCCAATATGAAAGTTTAAATGCGCTTGTAGTATTTCCTTGTTTACAAAAGTCTGTTTACATAAATCACATTTGTGATTTTGTTTACAGTGAGATGAACGTGTTACTCTGAAATATTTCCTCTTAATATCTCTTTGGATTTTGTTGTATTTTCTAATTGAAGGAACGAATTTCGTCTTCTTTCTATTACACTTATTCTGCTTTTGTGCTTTCGAGTTATGTTGAATATCGTATTCTTTACTTTCTTCTTCCTCCTTAACTGAAATTTGAAAGTTAAATACAATAACTACTTTTCTTTAAATTAAGTACTTATTGTGTTTACATAATTTGACAGATAATAAACAATTTGAATATTTAAATTTACTTAATATTATAATGTCACATAGCTCTAATACTATATGTAAAATCTGATTTTCACAAAAACATTTAACAAATAAACTTGTAACATAGTTACTTACTTCGTACGTTCGTGTCATTCCTGTTAAAATTTCTATCGGGAATGAAGGATTCGTTCTTGAATGCCTAAAAAAATTTAGAAACAACAGAAAAGAATATGTTATATATGAAAATAAATATGTAACTTATAAATGTGTTGTTTTTCATTAGAAAAGTGCATAAAAACTAAATTATTTCTTACATGTTTTGTATACATTATTAATATTTTTTCGTTTCGTTTTGGCTTACGAATGTATATGGCAATGCGACATGTGGGTAATCTGCTGAAGGGGGATCTTCTCGAAAGCGTAGTACTTTCTATGGGAAACTAGTTTTTATTTACGTGCTACAAACGTGAAGAAACTCGAACAACTCTACTTGGCCAGCTCAATGACAAGAAACGAACTCACAACCAACGGTTGTTTAGGGGTTTTATTCACTGGGCCACTTATTAGGCTATACCGGCGGTTTACAACTCAATAAAAATTTCGGTTCCACAATAAAATGTGTTGAGAGTAGTGGTGTATGAATGTACCAATGAAGATTCGGGATATGAGGTGTAATTGTTGTAGTCTCGGATAATGGAAACCATAAAAAAATAGTAAAACATAAACTACATTTAGAAAATCATTTAAAAAACTATAACCTTAAAACGGATTCAACACAAATAAAAATACAATCGTTAAATCTGTATATATTAAAAGCGAAATGTTCTTACACTCTTGTACAGTACATAACATAAATTTAAAATGGAATTTAATTTACAATTTAAAAGTTCCAAAACAACTTTTAAAGGGTTTTTAAAAACATTCTTTTAATTTTCAATTCATTTGATTTCAGTTTTAATTAGTTAATTTTGATTTAATTTTCCATTTTATTTTTTTTTGTAAACATTTCAACGAATTAAATTCTTTAATTCGTTAAAATCTGCAGTGTTCCAACATTTTTATTGAGGATTAAAGGACAATTTAATAAATTATACAATTATTTTTTTCAAAAAATTAACAATTTTGTCAAGTATACAACCGAATTTTCAAAGTGGTAAAGGAATTTCGAAAATTTTCTTCTTAGTGTAAGGTACATTCTCGTGACGTACTCTAACTGTGTATCAAATTTTAGCTTTCAACTCCTAACCGTTTGGGCATTTATTATTATTATTATCAACTCATCTCGATTATATTATATTATATAAAGAAGAAAATGTGTAAAATAAAAGCGAAGCGAATGAAAATAAAGAGCTTGAGAGTGAGACTTGAACACACGTGTTATAATTTCTTTTTTATTTTTAAACGTCAGACAGGAAATTTTGAATATTGATTCTGGCGCTCGTAAAACGAATAAAAATAGAAAAAAATGAATTGGGCAAAAACAAGACGTTGTAACGAGAGAAAATTCTTACATGGCATGAGAGAAAACATATCAAAGATCGTCCTTTCTCGCTACTCGATCTGATCTAATTTCACTTAGAAACAGAAAAGTAACCAATCAGGAAAGAACACACTTCATATCAGTCTGTAAGCATTCACCGCGTGACCTGCTGCTCTGTTTTAGGCTCGACAAAGCCCTGGATGAGTCTCAACTAAACAGTCAAAGTTTTACCCCTCGGACTTCTATCGTGGACAAAAAAGCAGAAAGTGACGTAAATCATTAAATTTCTACTGTTGTTAAATAGAAATTACATCTAAATTTACAGTATAATTGTATAAAATTGGTATAAAACCTCCCGTTTTAATAATTCACAGAAAGTAATACGCAGATTTCACTTATAAAATGTGTAAAATGTTTCCAACTTTCTATCACTTACCTTCGAGTCTACGTATTGGACTGGAAGATAAACTTGTTTACAATCTTCAGTCTTCACTTTAAAATTCAACCTTTTCAGAACAACTTTACATTCTGATTTTATATATTTGGTATTATAATTCTCTTCTTTTATTTCCTCTTTCTTACAATCTGTATTGGAATTTACAAAGTATTTTTATTATAAAAAATTCTAAGCAAAGATATTGAAATAAATAAATAATTAATTAATTAAAACTGAGATTAGTTTTAATAATTTAAAATGTCAAAACGTTTAATTTTGAGCTAAGAATGAGTTGTTTACAAAATTATAAACGTTAATAATAAATAAAATCTTTACTAATTCCTACCCTACATGACACACCACACCCTTTATTTCCCCGCTTCTCGACCTTTAAAGTAATTTAATTAACGTTCTGAAACCTCCAAAATCATATTAATAATACTGAGTAAAACATACGTTAAAAATTACCTTTGAATTAAGTAGAAATTTTCATAAATAGTAAAAACTTATTAAAGTTTGCTGAAAACTTCATACAACAACAACAACAACAGACCAAAAAAAAAATGCTTTGAATTGTGTTGAAAATTAAAAAAAAAAATAACTTGATGAAACTTCTAACTTAAAAGGTAAGTTTTGTGTTTTAAATAAAACATAATACAAAATATTATTGTAAATTATTATAATAAGATTTTAAACAGCAAAGATGGACAATGCTCCGATCAGTCGATCTGGTTCTTATTTAACTAATGAAAAGTCCTGTTACCGAGAATGCCCTTTCTCATTTAATTCATTTGAGTGAAATCGTGTTTAATGCATTTAAGAGAAAACAGATGTTATGTGTTTTTTCACCTATATCCTGGAAGATTTCTAGTTCGTTTTCGAGATTGTAGTAATTCTTTTGCTCTCTAGTATTCTTCATTTGTCTTCCTCAACTGTTTTAATAGAAACATCGATCTTATGGCCCACTAATTCGGCAGTTCATTTGTCTTTAATAATCAGGTTTATGAAGAAAAACTTCGTACTCTTAATAAATTGTAAACCTAATATAACCTATAAATTCTTTTTGTCGCCCGTTAGGCTGTCTTTCCTTAATCGCGAGAACGTAATCAGATAGAGTTAAAAGCTAAGCGTTAAGCGTTATGCTTTTTGTAATAATTAAAATTATTTTAAAAAAAAGCATTTCATGAATTTTGAATTGAGCAGGAATAATTTATATATAACGTATTGAGAAATTATAAGTCAATGGGAAGAAGATAAATAAGAACATCTTCCACTTCCGGAGTTAAACGTCGAAATGACTATATGAAAGAATAAACTAAATTTTTAATTAAAACATAACATTCAATTAAAACAAATTTAATTCTACCATATTACTATCTTATTTAATTTTGTATAACAATTAAATTGGGATTCCCTCTGTTCTAAGATTCTGATAATCTTAGCTCTATCAAGACCAAATATGTATAATATTAAAATATATTTAATTTCATATACAGTACATTTTATATAAAATATTTGCTAAGGATATTAAGTGCTATCAACTTAACATTTACATAAATATAAATTTATTTATATTTATGTTCGAACTATTCTTCTATAGTTTTAAAAGTATGAAGCTTCTTACCTGTTTCACTATTATAACAAGAATTATTCCAAACATTCGAGCCGTTTGTGTTATTGATTGAAATAGAATTTTCATAAGTATTTACCTGAAACGATAGAATTATTATGTTACATTATCACACAAAATAAATTTTACAAAAGAATAAATAAAAAATTATTTAAAGTGAAACATAAAATTCCGTTTAATCAATAAATTTCTTTAAAATAATTGTATCTTGTTTGCATTTTTTTTAATTGTTTTATTATAAGAATTCGTTTACTTAATTAAAATCTGGACCATCTTCATACCAAATAAACACGTAAAAATGACAGTTTTTGAGTTACTAAACCTCAGAATACATCATCTCACTTTCTCTAGTTATAAAATATCGAATTATTTCTCTGTTAGAAACACATTTCTTTACCCAAAAAGATCGAAAATAAAAAAATTTAAATAAAATCTTTGTAAATTATTCTTTCATACCATTTCTATGATATAAAACATACAAAATATAAGTATTTTAGTTGACTGGAGAGGGCAAAGCCCGAAACGAGTACAAAACGATGTACCGTATCGACTCAACTAATAAAGGAATTTGATGGAAAACTTGCCACGTGTCTTTGGAATAAAACACAATACTAGTGTTTACTACGCCACATACAAAATATACTCGTTCTTATTTAACTAATTATATCTTTTGTTATTTGTTAATAGAATAAGCTCAGCTTTGTCTTACAAGTAATGTGATATTAAGGGACTGCCCATAAGTTACGTCCACACTTTTCTTGAAATTTTTACGTTTCTTCCGCCATTGTCCCAGTTTGTCAAACATTCCGTGATTTACACAGCTTTAAATTCATTTAAAATAATAAAATTTTGAAATAATTTAGAAAGAATGTCCAATAAAACTCTCCCCCTCATAAAGCTTCATCATCTTATCAATGATAGTGTGAGATCAGCCGGGGGTACTCTAATTCGTTAGTACCACTTAATCGGCACCCAGTTGGTAAAACTAGTTCTCCAGGTTTCAGATCGAGAGATCCGATCCTAATCTATTTCATAGGAGAGCGTAAACAAAGATGATCTGAACGTGAAGTTCAGACGTTCGTCAGGTTCCCGACACCAGTTAATCGAACTTATTATACGCGGATTAACACGCGTATGCGATCTGATTCGGACACCCAATTAAGAGACATTTTTGTATAATAAACAGAAGTATAATTTAATAAATCTCAAACAAACGAATACAAATAACCAAATACAACGATTATACGACAAGCTAAAGACTAGGACTGAATCTATGCTAATGCGAGTTCGAGAGAGAGAGCTCACAATGATTCTAAACATACGACCTGTTAGTTGTCGTCTTCTTCGTTTCTGTAGATATACACCTTGTAAATAGAGTTCATATTACTATCGTATGGGAGATCAATTCGTGCACAAAATATAAAAATATCACTTCTTCTAAGTGTAGACTCGGGACTTAGTCTATCGGACTCCGTTATGGGCGTTGGCCATCAGGAGGGAACGTATGTGTGGAGTTTGTATGCTTCGGATCTGTCAAAGAACTTGTCGCTGAACTCTCCGAATTCTGACTAATTTCTCCTTTTATTTCAAAATTTCGTCCAATCATCGTTCAGTAACTCTTTCGTGAGAACGGATGAAAGGGGGATGAATGAGGGGTAACCATTTCCCATCTGAGCGAGATTTTTAACGGATAAGGGAAAAACAGCGGATGTTCTCTTCTGTGGAAAGGAAGTGTCATCTGTCATCTATTTTTCCCACGTCTAAAACACCATTTTTCTCACCAAAAACGAAGTATTATTTTGTCGATAATTTAAACATATTAATAAAATTATTAACTTAGACCCAGGGCCTTTCGGATCTCACATTACTCCCTTATCTTCAAAAATCGCACTACATTTAAAGAAGGCGTGATTTTTCACTGCAATACATAAGTTCGAATTGCTCTTTCTCTTTCTCAAAATGGCGTTATACATATTAATAAAATCATGAAAGTAGACAATAATTCAAATTAAATTCAAAATTGGAATACATGGAAATAATATAATAAACAATTCATTAGATTGATAATATTACTAAAATAAACACAATGAACACAGGTGTCTTCGTCTGAAATTGACGGTAAAAGTGAACATAGTTCTGTCACTGGTTTCGAATGCACTTCTCTGTTGCTGAGAGTCTCTATGGCAGCACTTCTGTTGGCTGACTTCTTATAGTTGTAACAAAGTTCAGGTATTTTAGAAGATCATGTGATGTCTTCTTGTTTCAAAAAGCACCTGCTAAAAGTTCAAAGTTTACTTTGCAGTTGATATAATGTGTCTTCTTCCTGTATGTTGACACACTTCTTTTCTGCTAAAATTTAATTCAGCATAACCACAAAAGTTCAGGTGGTTGAGTTCACTAAATATTTTATGACTCCAGGGTCATTTAAATCCGTCTGGGCACAGTTTCTTTTCACCAAAGTATTGTTCATTTTAAAGGCAGTATGTTTAACAAATACATATCTCTAATAAAGTCTCTCTCTCTCTTAATACTACTCTAAGTCTTATATCTAGACTATTCTATATAATATTATGTCTATTCTAATCAATCACTTTAGTTTATCAATTTGAGTGGGGTGTACATTCCTTTAAATAAGCTTTNATACATATCTCTAATAAAGTCTCTCTCTCTCTTAATACTACTCTAAGTCTTATATCTAGACTATTCTATATAATATTATGTCTATTCTAATCAATCACTTTAGTTTATCAATTTGAGTGGGGTGTACATTCCTTTAAATAAGCTTTTTGTTATTATTAGAAAAGGTACTTACAAACTAAAGATATATGTAACTAAAATCGATCATTTTATAATCAAAAATTTTCAATCAAGAATGAAATGATCATCTCAAAAAGCAAATGTGAATTAAAGTCGATATGTTCGAACAAAATGCTTCTTTATCTGAGTTGAGCTTGAAGCTTGTTCAGTTGAGCTTGCAACAGGTTCGACTATTTCCGTTTCTTCTTCTTCTGCATTATTTCTTTGGGGAATTTCTTGAAGTGGAATGTCCTGTGGTGACAGTTCCTTGATCCTCTTCTCAAATCTTCGTTTCCAACAAAGATGCTTGAGTATATAATATGTGCAGATAGGTAGAATTAATATTCTTATACTTCCAAGGATAATCCATATGTATGTGATTGGAATTGTTGGGGTGTTTGATATAAAGAGATCTTCATTTTCTTTCAAAAATCTATCCAAATCTTTCTTCATTTGCTCGTATGATTTTTCTGCTACCTTAATGTCGTCATTGTTTTGCTTCTTAGAAATCTCCTTATTCCTCTTTGGATTTTCTGTAGTATTTATACTCTCTTGCAATTTCTCTAACTTCATTTTGGAAAATTATTGTTTCTATCGGAGGTATAATAAACTTAGGACTGCTTCCTGTGTGAACAGTTGATCTCATGTGAAAATGTGAAGTGAGGATAATTCCAGGTAAGTATCCTATACATGTATTTGGTAATCTTATGATTCCAACATTATTCAATTTACTTATATTAGAAGGTGATGAATGCCAATTATGTTTAGCAGAACACTTCACTGCTAATACTAATGTAGAGGGTGTAGAAAATACCCATGTTCCTTGCTTGTCTATTCTTCTAAAAATTGGATANTATTTGGTAATCTTATGATTCCAACATTATTCAATTTACTTATATTAGAAGGTGATGAATGCCAATTATGTTTAGCAGAACACTTCACTGCTAATACTAATGTAGAGGGTGTAGAAAATACCCATGTTCCTTGATTGTCTATTCTTCTAAAAATTGGATAAAAATCCTTTATGATTTCTTTGGAACATAGTTCTGTTACCTTCTGATCATTTCCGATGTATAACGAATATTCGCAGCTCTGATGTGGAGCTCGAAATATCGGAACGTACGGTGAACAAACAGCAGACTGTGATATTTGGCAAACAGCCAATTCGTGATGACGTAACAACATGTACGATTGACGATCCATTGACAATGCTAAAATGGGATATTCAGTCTTAAAATATGCATAAGCTTTCAATACAGGAATATATGTAGGTAATCCCAAAATTTCGTAAGCATCGAAATATCCACTAGGCGTTTTCAATGGCATTTTTGCGAAAATTCTTAATTTTCCTGGAAGTGCGATAGCAACTGTAGTAATCCACTGGTAAAATTTAAAGAGAGTGTCAGCTTTGACTTGCTCTATCAATGAATAACCTTCC